CTGAGCAGGGAGCCCGATGCGGGACTCGATCCAGGGACTCCAGGATCATGACCTGAGCCGAAGGCAGTCGCTCAACCAACTGAGCCACCCAGGCACCCCATCTAACACCGTTTTTTAAAACTAAAAGGAATGTATACATAAAATGCCTAGTGTATATGGTAGATACTCAGTAAAAGTCCATTTTCCTTTCTCAGCATCCAGACTGTCATCAGAAACAGGGTAGTTTAAGAAATCAAAAGCTATCTGTTGGAATCTCAACGGCCCCCTGTGCCTCAAATCAAAAAGGAACTCATTTATCTGAAAACCAACTGAGCATAGAAAATTGAATAAGAAACTATATAAAATAATTCATAAAATAGATCTCGCTGATATTTTCATCAAGGTGTGGTGTGGTTTCAACTCTACTCCAAAAACAAACCAGAAGTTATTTTGAAAAAAGCCTTGCTAGTTTAACCTGGACAGACAGATGGGCACAGCGACGCCGGCTAGCTCTTCCCCAGCAGGTCTCTGCCTCGGGGTGGAAGCAGAGGCTTCGTTGCTGGAACACTTGCTCGAGAGTGTTGTCCTTCCCTTATATTCTTCAGTCCATACCTCTCGCCTCATTCATTCATTCCTTTCTCGCCTGTTTACTGGGCATCTAAATCCCACCTGGAACCACAAAGGTAGACACAGCGTCGACCTGTGCCTCATGGACCCCATGCTCCCAAGTGAACGTAGGCATGGTAGGAGGTAAATGCACACACAGTGCGGCCCACACCGGAACGCAGCCGTCTGCCGCAAATAGGGCCTCCAAGTGGGAGTGGTCAGCTCTGCAAGTGAGGACATCCCCTCCCAACATTTTCCACGACCCTCTCTCTGCCCTCAGACCCGCCCAGGTGCCTCGTCTGACCTTGACTGGTGTTGTCCACAGCTCACTGTACTCGTGCACCTGGGGATTCATATCTTAGCCCCCCGCCCATGGCGTCCCTTTGTTGGCTCTGTGTGCCAGTTCAAGAGTCACCCTTTTAGAGCACATGCTTCATGATGGGAGTGGAGCACCTAAACTCTGTGCCTTTTTTTTTTTTTTTAAATGTTTATGCCTTTAATAAGAGAGTTTCGAAATATAGGAAGCAAAAACTGATCTGCAAGGGAAAATGGACAAATCCACAATTATCATTGGCAATAAACTCTGTGCCTTACCTTCCCCTTTGGTAAAGGGGAAAAGGAAAAGCTAGCTACCCCGAGCCTTTTTTCCAGTTTTTCTGGTAAGGATTGATTTGTGTTGCCTTCAGAGGTTTTTAGTACAGTGGGAATTGATGCTTAGCAAGCATCATATGGACCCCATGTAGAAACTCATTGGTTTACCCCAAAGTGAACATATCTTCAGATGAGCCGTTGAGATTACACACGTTTTAGGAATGATGAAAGGCCACGCAGAATTGTTAGGACTGCTGGTCTGAGGTAGGAGAGGTAAGCAGATCCCTAGGTAAGAATAGCTGTTTGTGACACCTTTCTTAAGACTATCTCAGAGGAAAACGTCTAGTGAGCCTCCTTGTTTTACCACCGTGTTTATGACACGTGGAAATTAGAACACATTTTGCATTACTTAAGTGCACAGTACATAGATATTTCTGGGTGGTTGTTTTTTAAAATATATATAACATGTTTAATGAAATAAATGCATAATGCCATATATAAATGTACCCATTGAAAGTATATAGCTCAAAAAAAAAAATGTACAGCTCAGTGGTCTATATTCACGGAGTTGGACAACTGTCATCACAGTCAATTTTAGAGCATCTTTATCACCCTGTCCCTCAACTGCCCCTACCCTGGGCATCCACTAATCTCCTCTCTGTCTCTGTGGATTTGTCTATTCTGGATTTATTATGTAAATGGGATAAAACAATATAGAGACCTTTGCAGTTGGCTTTTTTCATTTAGAATAATGCTTTCAAGGTTCATCAGTATTGTAACGTATTCATATGCCATCCCTTTTTGTGGCTGAATAATGGTCCATCCTGTGTATCTACCACATTGTATTTATCCTTTAAGGGACATTTGGTTTCTTTCCACTTGGGGGCATTTGTGAATATGGCACCCATGAACTTTCATATCCAAGTTTTTGTGTGGAGTACGTTTTATGCCTCAGAGCGGAATTGCCAGTCACACAGTAACTGTAGCTTTCCGAGGAACTGCCAGACTATTTTCCAAAGCTGCTGCGCCATTTGAATCTTTAGGGGGAATTCTTGGGGAAGCACTCTTGGATTTTATGAATAGGCTGGAAACTGTATACAAAATGGTGGTAAAATTTTAGCACCCTGAGCTCCGACTTAACGTCTGTTGTCTTTTCTCCACAGTTTTCAGGGGAGAATGCAGAGCGCTTAAAGAAGACGTACGGCAAGTTTTGTGGGCAGCATAACCAGTCTGTGAACTACTTTAAAGACATTTATACCAAGGACAAGCGGTTCCAGGCCTTTGTGAAGGTATTGGTGTGAAACATGGAAATCTGCATGGTTGTCTGGGGCACTGTTGCTGTCTGTTGAACCAGAACCTTCCTGCAATAGCTCCTGATAATTTGTTCTGTCCTTTGCAGAAGAAGATGAGCAGCGCCGTCGTGAGGAGGCTGGGAATCCCAGAGTGCATATTGCTGGTGACCCAGCGGATCACCAAATACCCAGTTTTATTCCAAAGAATATTGCAGTGTACCAAAGGTGAGCCCCTCTCCTTACCCAGTCGTGCCTGCCCTCGGACTGTTTCCCGCCTGTCCAGCAGCACAAGGGGCCCCAAGGAAGAGTTCCTTCAGGCTCTCACAGGTCTATAAGAGATCCTGTGTTTTGCCTTAAAAACCATTTTCTTGGGGCACCTGGGTGGCTCAGTTGGTTAAGCAACGTGCTCAGCAGGGAGTCTGCTTCTCCCTCTGACCCTCCCCCCTCTCATGTACTCTCTCTCAAATAAATAAAATCTTTAAAATAAAAAAAAAAGTTTTCTTAAGTGAAAACTTGAAATGCTGCATCACCAGATGCAGGGTGGATGAGAGCAGGAAGGGAAAGAACCACTGACTCCCTCCAGATTCCGCACCCTGAGCATCTTTCTCCCTTACCACGAGATTGGGTGGTGCTTCCCCCCACTTCTTTCCATGAGTGCTAGACCTGCTGCTTTTTCTCACTTAGCCAGGACTTAGAAGGTTCTCTCTTGGCTAACCCTGCTCCCAGGCAGTTCCGTTAAAGGTGAGGTGGTAAAACAAAGACATAAGTTAAAAAATTATTGCTCCTCTCCCTCCCTGAAATTGTTGGGTCCTTCTCCTTCAGGACATGGTATGGAATTGTGTGTTGTGTCTAGCAGTGAGAACATCTAACTTTATTTAGGATTAACCTGGTGACAGGGATCGGCACGTGACCTTTGGTGTGTTGGCTTTACTCTGCCAGACACACTGTCAGCCTGTCCCCAGAGGGAAGATGATGGTGTGGGGCGAGGAAGTAGGTTTCCCCCTCCTTGTCTGAACGGATCCATTAAAAACAGGATTATTCCTTCCTTCCAAGACAATGACGTGGAGCAGGAAGATCTGGCTCAGTCCCTGAGCCTGGTGAAGGATGTGATTGGAGCTGTGGACAGCAAAGTGGCAAGTTATGAAAAGAAAGTGCGTCTCAATGAGATTTATACAAAGACAGACAGCAAGTCGATCATGAGGATGAAGAGCGGCCAGATGTTTGCCAAGGAGGATTTGAAGCGGAAGAAGCTTGTGCGGGACGGGGCTGTGTTTCTGAAGAACGCAGCAGGAAGGTTGAAAGGTAAGGCTCGTTTTTGTCTGAGTCTCCATGTACCGGAGAAAGAGCAAGCAGAATTCAGATGTTTTTGTTAGAAACCTGCCGCCAGGTTTTTCCTAGGGAGCCCACGTCCGTACATCACACAGGAACAATAGTCCTTTAATTGTTCTTAATTTTGTATCAAAAAGGATGAGGTTGAGATAAATTACAAGATCAGAAACTCCTCCAGTAAGATAACAAGGGAATGATGCAGGTAGGGAAATTGGAAAAAAAAAAACTAATTTAAAAATAAAGCAAGGTGGCCCTTCTCGGCACCTACTCCCGGTGGCCCCGAGGGCGTGCGGACCAGGGGCGGCCCCAGAGAGGAGGCGGCAGAGGGGGGCTGGTGTGTGGGTCTGCGTGTTGCGGCGTGGCCCTCGTGTCCAGAATAGGGAGGAGCGGGAGACCACAAGGACAGACCCAGGAGCAGTGACGTCCAAAGAGGAACAAAAAATCTCATGCCAGCCAGGAAAACGAAAGGAAGGATGAAAAGGAGCAAGTTGCTAATAACGGAGAGCCATTGGCCCTGCCCCGGAAGCCAGTGACTGTGTGTCATGTGCCTCAAGTCAGTCGTTGTCGGTCCCATTCCGCGGTATAGCTGGGACACGCGTCAGTGGCTCGGAGGGCCACGGGGTGAGGGGGGCGTATATGGAAAGGCTCAGGAGGAGGTGAGACAGCAGAGGGAAAAGCAGTTCAGCCATCGCCTGCGGGCCCTGAACACTGCTCCTCCTCACCATGGCCGTGCCGTCATGAGGAGTGTGGCCTAGGCCTCAAATCCTGATGTTTTCCCTCCAGCTCATAGGAAGACACACATGCCTCCTGAACTGAACGTTCTCAGTGCCCCATTGTTGTAAACCTTCTGGTGTTATGTGTCTCTTGTGGCAAGATGCTCATTCTACATTGTGAAGTTCATAATGCCATTTAAAAAGGAAAAAAAAAAAAAGCCGAGTGTAAGATTACTACAAAAACTTGGGCTATTAAAGGAAGGTGTATTCCCCTACAGAAACGGGCAACACATTTGGGGTTGGCGTCTCTGGAAACAGGTGCAAGGAGGGGCAGCCCCATCAGGCAGCAATTCAGAGTCTGTGAGATTAAAAACACATCACCTGTTCTGAAGAGAGATGGTAGAGGACTTTTTCAGCTCCCAAGACCTTAGAGGAAATGTATTTTTAACTCACACCAACTAGATGATTAAAACTTGATGATATTCATCTCTTCTATCTTTCTCTAAGCAAGAGATGATAAAAGATACTAATTTTCCATTTGGTTTTAATTTTTTCTTAAAAAGGATGAGCTACATCAAGTTAAGGAAGTTACTGTGAGGTTTGTTAATTCATCTATACATCTGATTTTATTTTTTTTTTAATCTGTTTGTCAAACCTGCCCTCTCTAGGCCTGTATAACAGCTCTGACTTGACCAGCAGCCCTGAGCATGCCCCAGCCCGGCCCCGGCCCCGGCCCCGGCCCCTGCAAGCTGCGTGCTCGAGGCAGGCTGGCCCTGTGCCGTCAGCCCCGCTGACGTAAAGCCAAGGCTGGGGATGAAATGTGGGCCTCTCTCCCGTCTCTCATGTGTCAGGAACACTGTAGGCAGCTGCTGCCAGCCAGTGGCCTAGAGTCCAGCTAGCGTCTCACCTAGCTTGGACCAAACAGTAAAGACGGCCCAGGTGATCGGTGGGCCTCAAAGGTGAATGAAGCTGACCGCGCCTAGAAGTTGGGCTCCGAACGAAGAGGCCTGTGAAGAAATGCTTGCCGCACAGTCCGCTGGGTGCTGGAACCAAGAGCTGAACTAAGCAGGGGGAGGCAGTGCAGAGTGGCATGGAGCTAGTGGTGAAGGATGAAGGGCAGGCGCACCCGGCTCTCTGGCAGCAGAGACAGTGGCGGGGGGCGCTGGGGACACGGGCAGAGAGGGGCCTCGTCCAGACGGAGACACGGACAGCTGACACTGTTAATGGGGGTGGGCAAAGAATGGGTTCCAGGTGGAGGGTTTCCAGCAAGGAAGGGACACAGTAGATTGTTTTCTAGCACGCAGTGGAGGCAGCGAAGGGGTGCCTTAAAGGACAAGCGGTTCTAGGCCTTTGGGGAGACACTGGCGGCGGACACAGGACCGCCCCTGCTGCAGGGGCCTGAGTTGCCCGGGGGGCATGAAAAGGAAGGACAGGAGCCTTTCAGAGAAAAGAACAGGCCCCTCCTGCCTCCAGCAGATGTGTCTCCTGCTGCACGGTGAACTTGGACTAGGTGATCCCCAAGGCTCCCTCTGTCCTCCCAGCCCCAGTCCTCTGATGCTCCGAGAAGCCCGGATCAGGACTCTTCCCACACTTGGGAAGCGCCTGCCTCCTCTTGCAAGGTCCTGAATTTCCTAGAGCGGCCGCTGCCTGGAGCCAGCACTTGGTTCTTTCCTGTGCACAGCGGTTTATTTATCCACTCCCAAACTAGCAACGACTGGATCCCAGCTGTGGGCATGAAGCTGTGGGCCGCCAGTGGCACAAGACAGTCTCTCTGGCCTGAAGGGCCTCCAGTGCACTTAGGGGCTGGTGGGGAGCCCTTTGCCCTCAGGCAAGCTCGTGCCAGGAACAGCCAGTCCTGCGCTGGGCACCCCTCGAGAGGGCTGGGCTTGTTTTTCTCTGATCCACTGACACTGGTCACAGAAGCGTCAGCATCCCACGAAGTGGAAACTTGTGTTTTGGAACTTTTTTTTTCTTTTTTGGCAGCACCCGAATTATTTACAAGTAAACTTTAAGAAACTTGTCCAAACTAATAGCAGTCCACAGAATAGTCATGCACAGCCTGGTTGGTCTTGGCTGAAAACGGTACCTCCCTAGGAACCAGCTGTGCTTGCTTCTGTTCTCTTCGTAGCTGTGTTGTGAGTTACCAGGGAGGGGCTCCCGGCTGTGGCAGAAGCAGGAGAGAAGTCCTGACCGCCTGGGAGGGGCCTGCATGAGTCCGCTCCATTCTCTCCCCAGGGGCTGTGGGGGTCGATGAGCCTGTTAGCTCTCTGGAGACGCCAGACTTTGTCTCTAGGGGAGTACTGGGAGATGCCACTTCCTGTTCTCCAGCAGAGCGGGAGCTGGTGGCATTTCCTGGATTACTAGATCCAAGTAGAGCTCTCGCTTGGCTTTTGTTTGAGTTGAGAGCAAGAGCAGCCTGTGTCTATGGTAGAGGTTGAGGCTGAGTAGGACCTCTTGGAGCCGGGGGACAAGCCGTTGTGTTCGCAGGTACCTGTGGAATGGAGGGCCTCGTGGAGCCGTTCTGTCCTGCGGGTTGGGGGAAGCCTACCTTTCATTAGACTGAGCTCTTTTGATACATCACCTCTTAGCAGCTCTCCAGTCTGCTCTCCCACGCCTCTCCCAGTATTAGGATCGGAAGTCGAGGAGTATTATGACCTGAGTATTTGGTGGAATATGTTGCTATTACTATCTGTTAAAGTCCTTCCCAGCTTTATTCTTAAAGTATTTTGTTCTTCAAGTCTCTCCTTATGGGATTATCTTTCCAGAATGGAGTACTCAAGCTTTGTCAAGATAAGGCTTTGGTGATAACTACATTTAAAAATGCCTCTAAAAATGTAATGACCGATGTCATTGCAGAAATGTAAACCCATCCATCACCTTGGAGGAGTGGAGAGTACTCTCCCATCCTGACTTGCTCTGTGGGCCGGGTTGCTGAGTTGGCGTCTAACTTGCTTCACTGCTAAGTAATCCTTGTCCTTTCTCTCCTTCCCCACTTACAGAGGTTCAGGCAGTTCTGCTTACTGACATTTTAGTGTTCCTTCAAGAAAAAGACCAGAAATACGTCTTCGCATCACTGGTAAGCTGAACTGTCAGGCTCTTCCATTTGTAACGAATAGTATTTGGAACAGCCAGCTTAAGTATGGGGTCCGGATGCTGGATTCCTGCTCTCCCACCCTTTCAGCATTACTTTGCTCAGGACAGATTCCTCTGAGTATTTCCTCAGATACTCTTGCAGTTTTCCACCCCACCCCCCAAAAAATTATTTTTCTGTTCCCTCTCAGTCCCTTTGAGAGCCTTGGACGTTTGACCTAAAGAGATCTATCACTGGAGTATTTCTTGCACATTATGCCCCATAAATTGTGCTAATTTGTAATGTTGCCAGCCAGTCACAGAGGAACCTAGAAGGATTCATCATGTAGAAACCATGTCTGAAAACTCTGTAGATACAAATTATCATTTCTTTTTTGGAAATCTTTTTCTGTTTGATAAAATGGAGATGAAATAACGAGATACTTCTCTTTATCTTGAATCTACCATTGTTTGTTAAACCATACGCTTTTTTTTCCAGTCTTCCTGAGAAATAATTGACATATATCACCATCTAAGGTGTACAGAATAATGATTTGATTTACATGTATTATTAAATGATGATCACAATAAGTTTAGCTAATATTCATCATCTCATGTAGATACAATATAAAGAAAAGAAGGAAGAAATGAAATAGTTGTTGTGATAAGAACCCTGAGAATTTGTTTATTTGTACCGAACAACAGAGTTAGCCGTAGTCCTCGTGTTCACGTTACATTCCTAGAGCTTCTTTATCTCATAGCTGGGAGTTTGTGCCTTTTGACCACCCTCCTCCATCTCATTCCCCCTGCCTACCCCTCCACATCTGGTAACCACAAGTCCGGTCTCTCTTTTTCTGTGAGTTTGGTGTGGGGTTGTTTTGTTTTTTTAGATTCCACACGTGAGTGAGATCATGCATCTGGTCTTGCCTTAGATCAGAGTTGTTCTTGAGAGTTAGAATATTGTATGCCTTTCTTACATCGACCCTCTCCCCTTTTTCCAGGACCAGAAATCAACAGTGATCTCGTTAAAGAAGCTGATTGTCAGGGAAGTAGCACATGAGGAGAAAGGTTTATTCTTAATCAGTATGGGGATGAAGGACCCAGAGATGGTGGAAGTGCATGCCAGCTCCAAGGAGGAGCGAAACAGCTGGATTCAGATCGTTCAGGACACGATCAACACCCTGTAAGTCGAACGCCGGGGCCCGTCCCAGCCTCTGATTTTTATCCTCGAGGGGGCAGTGACCAGAGTCCTCAACGTCGTGGGGGCTGTTGGTCCATTTTGTTTTGTTTTGGGATTAGGAACAGAGATGAAGATGAAGGAATTCCTAGCGAGAATGAGGAAGAAAAGAGGATGCTGGACACCAAAGCCCGAGAACTGAAAGGTAAGTCTGTGGGAAGCATCCGCGACCTTGTCCGTGGGGGGAACTGCAAGAGGCTCCCAGGGCGATGCGGCCCCTCGGCTCCAGAGCTGTCCTGGCAGTTTCAGAACAGGGTGGTGAGTGGCTTTTAACGAAAGAGCAACTGAACCTGAGCCGACATGGATCCCAGGTCCCGTAAAACGGCCGTCAGAAGGTGTCTGACACTAGGTCAAGGGGGTACTGGTTCTCTGTTCTCACTTTGTGTTCTTGGACCCTGGTCACATTCTTTGTACTTTGTCACAGAAGAATTTGCTAAAACTCACGGTCATATTCGAGATTCAGACAGGGAGAAGGATACTTGAGGAAAAGAATTTTCCGGTTAATGTTCCAGTTACTGTTTTTGTCAGTACCCTGCCGCCACGCTGTGTGTCCACCATGAGTTATAAGGTGGTTCTGGGAGAGGTGTTCTCACCGATTATGCTCGACCTCTGTTTGTTGAGTCCCTGCTGTTCCGGGTAGTCTTGTCAACACCCCTACAAGATATGTTTGCCAGTCCCCATTGTGCAGATGAGAAAGCTGAGGCCCACAAAGGCCACGCGGTCCAGGGTCACGTACGTGGAGCGTGTCAGAGGCTTCTTCTCCCCTGCTTTCTAAACGGCAGCGTGGGTGCTCGCCTCTCTTTGCCAGTGCTTACCGAATGTTCCAAAGTAAAGACTGTGCTTTGGGTAGAAATAAGGCCCAGAGTCAAATAAATGTTAGCACCCGAGGAGTTTGGTTAGTCCTTTAGGCTGGACAAAGCAGTAACACTGTGTTTGGGGGTGGGGGGTGGGGAGGCAGATTTAGACGAGATCGGGCGCGTTCAGGGTGGTATGGCCGTAGACGGGAGGCAGATTTCGGCTGAAGCCAGAGTTACACCTGATTTATTGGCCCATGGTTAATATGACAGATATGAAAGCTTCCTTCTCTTCACATTCATGAAGCCTCCGGCCAGGCATACTGCTAAGTGCTGGGGGTGCAGAGATTCCTAAAGCAGCATCCCTGCTGTCAGGGAGCCCCCCGTTAGCAAGGAAGACGTACGGAAATGATGGGACGGGACCGCAGGCACGTCTAAAGGACCAGATCCTGCCTGCGAAGCTGACGCATGAGCTGAGTCTAAAGCAGTTACTGCAGCAGACGAGAGGAGCAGTTAGGGGAAGAGTGAAAGAGGACTTGAGTGTGTGCAATGTCGGTGGGGGGGAGGGTCAGGGCCAAGAGGTGGGGATTTAGCTGTAAAGGCACCAGGGCTTGAACGGCAGCAAGGGAATGATATAATCTGTGTAGAAAATGTCAGTCTAAGTTGTCTTCGTTGGCATTGAAGCCCGTGGGCGAATTGCTTGAGGGAGTAGGGGAGCCACTGGGAGTAGAAAGCGGGACTGGGAGGCTCCTGGGAGAGGGGTGGGTGTGGACGGCAGGGCGGAGCAGGGAGACAGAGCCCTCCCAGGTCCTCGGCGTGGCCCAGCTGGAGGATGAAGGTGATGTTGGCTGAAGAAGGGATCACACGCCGGAGGGAGGAGGGGGATGGCAAGAACGGAGAAAAGAGCTTTCTGACAAGCCGAGGACAAGACATCTAAGTAGAGCTAGCCACAGGCTGGTGGGACTCTTGGTCTGGCGCTCAGAAAAGCGGGCAGAATTCGGGCTGCTTTGCCTGAGTCACCAGCACATGGGAAGTCACTGAAGCCAGGGGAGGGAATATCCCCAGAAGGACGTGTGTGAGGTGTAGGAGGCCACCCAGGATGGAGCTGAAAGGAGGCCCCAGGTATTACTCCACTGCAGATGGCAGGAAGAGAACCAGTGATGTCCTCCAAGTAAGTGGGGGGGACCGGTTTAAAAGGAGAGGGGACCGGTTTAAAAGGAGAGGGGAGGGGTGCCTGGGTGGCTCAGTTGGTTAATTGTCCAGTTCTTGATTTCACCTCAGGTCATGATCTCAGGGTCATGAGATCGAGTTCCGTGTCAGGCTCCATACTCAACGCAGAGTCGGCTGGAGATTCTTTCTCTTCCTCTCCGTCTGCCCCTCCCCCTGCTCATGTACTGTCTAGATAGATAGATAGATAGATAGATAGATAGATAGATAGATAGATAGATAGATAGATAAAATCTTTAAAAAAAAAAAAAGAGGAATCATCCATGCTGGAGAAGATGAAACATAAGCCTCATTGGATCAGTAATGAAGGGTAGACTTGGAAAGAGCAGATGCAGACGAGAGTGGGTTGAGAAATAAACAGGAGGTAGCGGAGTGGAAACAAAATGCAGGTTTGTTGTGTCAGAAATTCTGATTTTGCCTAGAAAGTCGCTGGATGGATTTGCCCCTGCGGTGGAAAGGGGGCTTGGGGGGTGGAGCTGTGTTGTGTGTTGTCCCACCAGTGACCACAAGGTGGCACTCGTGTCCTGGTTCTCTTACTAAACACCAGCCCTTTTCTCCATTCTCCCTGCAGAGCAACTTCAACAGAAGGACCAGCAGATCCTCCTCTTACTGGAAGAGAAGGAGATGATTTTCCGAGACATGGCTGAGTGCAGCACCCCCTTGCTGGAGGATTGCTCCCCAACTCACAGCTCTAGAATCCTCTTCCGCTCCAACACAGAAGAGGCTCTCAAAGGAGGACCTTTAATGAAAAGTGCAATAAATGAGGGTAATTGCCCCTCTTAATCTCTTCCCAAAGTGCTTTATGCACTGACATTACCTACCAAATTTTACTTTTCCATTGTAAAATAAAGTACAGGTACAGAAAACAACCCAAAACGAATATTTTGCTTCATAAATTATTATCAGGGGAACATCCTTGTAACCGCTACCCAGGTCAAGAAATAAGATGTGGCCAGACACCCCAAAGCCCTTCCACACGTTCTGTCCCCATCAAAGCTCCCTCCCTCCTTCCCAAAAGGAACAGGTACTGTGACTTACACGTTTCCATTCAGTTCTATGGCCAGGGTCCTATTTGTAGACACTGTAGTCTTGTGTTTTTTTATAGGCCTTTCCAGATTCCTAATTTCCAGGCCTCCCCACCATCCCTTTCTTTTCCACATAATTTATCTTGGAAGAATCTGAGCTTTTTGACCTAGAGTGTCTCTCAGAGTCCAGCTTTCATTCACACAGGGTTTCTGTTCATCTGTCCGCTACGCTAGTTCCTTCAGATTTTGAGCTGGATACGGAGGCTTAATTACTCAGGCTTGATCCCCGTGGTAAGCCGTGTTCTTGGAGTGTTGTGCTCCTTTATCGGAGGCACAAGATAGCTAGCTGTCTCCTTTGTAGTAACATGCAGGAAAAGGAAGATAAAAGGATAGATATTGGATTTTTCCCCCTTTATTTACCAATTATCAGGATAGTGAATTGAGCTGTGGTCACCCTCTAAGGGTGACCTGTACTTTTTAGATAGTCTTACAGACTCATGAATTTAAACTTATTTGATGGTTTTCAGGTCACTGCAGTGATTATCCATACTAAACATTCAGAATGTCCTCTATTTGCCAACCAGCGCCTCTTTGTTTGGCTTCCAGGTGCTTCTGACCTGACCCCAGGAGTTTCTGAGAGCTTCGTTGCTCTTTGGTATATTAAGATGTTCTAGACTCACTTTGTTTTCTGCCCAGTCTAGAGTCCTTTCTCTAAGGAACTCTTGTATCTTTTAGTGGGAAATGCTGTTTTAAGACCACAATCTGGGCAGCAGGGATGGTCATTGCTGCTGGGTTTTTCGTTTGTCATTTTGGACGTCTGGAGCTCATCCTTTAGTAGCTGTCTCGGGAAAGCCTCGTGAGAACACTGCACCCTGTGTCCTTGCACGCTGGTAATAATTTGTGCTGCGTAAAGCTTGGAAGTCTGCTCCATGGGATATGAAATCCTTGGTTCACATTTTCTTCCCTCGGGTATCTTAATTGCTCTTAAATAATGTTCTTCCTTTTTTTCTGGTGTAAAGCATTCCTGTCAGAGTGCAATCATAGTTTCAGTTCTCCCCCTTGTAAGTCCCATGCTTTCTGCCTAGGCTACTTTTTCAAAATCCAGGTAGTTTTACTAGCATACGCCTTATGTTGGGGTTGTTCTGGGTTGATGTTCTCAAGGTTACAGCGTTCTAATTTGATGTGGTTTCAGAGTTTTCCGATTTCAGAAAAGTATTCTTAAATTATAGCTTTTAGTATTTTTCTCTGCCCTTGTTTGGATTCTCTTCTTCAAGAACTCCCATGATCTGCATGCTGGACCCCCTCTGCCTGTCCTCTGTACGCGTTGCTCTCCTCACGCTTTGTAGCTCTTCATCTTTTTCATGTTTAAGTATTCTTCCTTCCACCTTCTGGTAAGTCATTTTCTGTTCCGTTTATTTTGCTCTTATGATCTAGTTTTCCTCTCTAAAATGATAATTTCTCTTTGTTTCCACTCCTTGGCATCTGTGTTTCCTGATTCTACCCTGGGTTCCTCCATGGCCGTGTCCTCCCCTTGCAGTAAGTAGCCCGTCCACTTCATGGACACGTCTCTCTGAGGTGCTGTTATCCCACGCGGGGAGCCATGCCCCTCGTTCTTTCTCTCGCTCTTTTTCCTTAGTGTTGTGTGGGGTTTGAATTGGATGTTTCCCAGTTGCTCATTTTTACATGAAATAAGTTTTCTAAGTTTTTAGGTTCAGATATCTTTTCTCACTTCACAGGACTCTCTGATTGTTTCCATGGAGTGTTTTTTTTTTTTTTTTTAATACGATGGCTTATCTTCCGAGATTCCCTGCCTCTGTTTCCCTCCATTCCATCTGGCCTCCTCTGTTGCTCCTCTCCAGCTCAAATTTCATTCCACTTTTAGCAAACTTTCTCCTTTCTGGGGGACACTGCTCTAGAAAAGAAGCCTCGCTGGTCAGATTTGAGAATTCCAATCCTTATACTCCTCTGGTCCCTTGAACTTACTTTGTCAGCGGGAAAAACCCTGCTGGTTTTAGCGCTGCTCTCAAATTGGCCCATCTTACTTCCTAGGGAATTCTTTTTGGCTACTTTGGGTCTGACTCTAGAAGGCCATGCCCCTTCCAGTAAATTACTCTGTCTCCCCGTGCCCTTTCAAATTTCCTAGACCTCATGTAAATAAGGCTGAAGGCTTCATCTGTGAATTCCCAGTAGAATCCAGTTACAACTCATATCCTGAGCTGAGACCTTTCTCTGAGCAAGGGAAGTCACCTAGTCACTCTGGAATTTTCTGATCATGCTCCCTGTACATGTTGTGTATTTACCATGAGATTTTCCTTTTCTCGGTGGAAGATGAAATGTCACTTTTGCATGTTTCCTTTTTTCCAGTGGAGATCCTTCAAGGTTTGGTGAGTGGAAGCCTGGGAGGCACGCTTGGGCAGGCTGTCAGTAGCCCTATTGAGCAAGAAGGCATGGTTGGTCCTGTTTCCTTGCCCCGGAGAGCAGAGACCTTTGGAGGATTTGACAGCCACCAGATGAATGCTTCAAAAGGTAGATGATTTAGGGGCCCCTGGCTGGCTTCATCTGTAGAGCATGCGACTCTTGATCTCAGGGCTATGAGTTCGAGCCCCACGCTGGGCCTAGGGCTTACTTAAAAAAAAAAAAGTAGATGATTTAGAACCCGTACTTATGTAGGTGACCCTTGACTGTCACACACAACCAAGAATGAGCTCATATTCTGGTAGCCACATCTCCTCTGTCCCATTCAGTCAGTAGAAGTTTTAGCGAAAGCCCATTGAGTAGTTAGCTGCTAAAACACTCAAGAACCTCTATCAGTGTCACGCTTATTTTGAGTAATAAAAAGCAATTTCCTAGGATCTCAGCTAAGCTGTGCCCAAAGAAGTAATAATACTCGTTTTTCCTTTCTGCTTCTAATTCTTCTGCGGCCATAAAATTCTTAATCACTGAGCTGCCCCCAGGTGGCTTCCCCCTTTCTGGCATTAATAAGATGCAGGAATACCATATCCCTAAACTATATATATTGTATTCTTTTCCTGGCTAATCTGTTCCACAACTTAAACAAAACAAAACAAAAAAAACCTTGTTTGTTTCAGGAGGTGAGAAGGAAGAGGGGGAGGATGGCCAAGATCTGAGGAGAACCGAATCCGATAGTGGTCTGAAAAAGGTACTTTTCTAAAACCTCTGCATCCATAATCTTTGCAGTTAGTCCCCTTGGATCTTGTTTTGGATGCCTGACTTGCTGTCATTTCCTACTTTGAGAGGAAAGCACATTTTGAAACAAACCCTACAATTAGAGTCCCATGTTCCTGGCCGTTAGGCCTCTCGGGCTAGAACCCCCTGCTTACAGTCCTGGCTCCCCTGCCGCTTGGCATTAAGAGCTTTGGGTCAGTGACCCACCCCAGCCTGGACTCTCTAGGGGCTTCCGCTAAGTCCAGCCTCAAACCTTCATTACCCTACAGCGGGAGGCTGTGGTGGGAAAGAACGAAAATGGGAAGCCCGAGCGTAATTGAGACACACATTAAATATTTTTGCCTCAGGATCTTCTTCCTTTTTTTTTTTTTTAAATGCATGTTTTTTGTTTTATAGGGTGGAAATGCTAACGTGGTATTTATGCTTAAAAGAAACAGTGAGGTAAGGGCACTATGAGCTATGTATAAGAATAGGATTTTGTCATAATTGCTAGGCTAGGAATGCTCATCTGTGTTTTGCTGTTACGAACAAGCTGACTCCTGGCTTCCATCTGTACACTTAGTGGTGGGGTCACCACTTTCCTTACCTTGCTCTTTCCCTGGCCCCCGGGGCATCATCCTGGAATTGTGCCAGACCGTGGCCTACTAACACGGCCTTGGCGTCTCTGTCCCCAAGAAGCAGGCCTCTTGCTTTCTGGGAACACGCGCTGCCACGCCTGCTTGCCTGGCACCAAAAGCCACAAGTGTGGGCCGTGGCACCTCAACTTGTGGGCCACTCTGCGTGGTAATAGCCTATCCTGTGAGGACTCAGATTGCGTTTTCTTCTTGGAGCGCTGTGCGTCACTCAGAAAGCAGCCTTGGTGTCCCTCTCGTTGGAGAGCAGTCTCTGAGGGGTCTCCCTCCCCTGCCTCCGTTCAGTTCTGCTGACCCTGCCGGGGAGCTGTGCCTCGCCCGCTCACGTCCCTGCTCCTAGCTCCTGGTGGGCAACCCCTGTTCCCCAGGCCACCCCCCTCTCCAGACTCGTGTGGCTCGGAGCGCCCGCATGTGTGTGCTTAGATACAGGACAGTGGCTTTGTGGGGCGTCCCTCTCAGGATGCCATTGTGTTTCTTCTTGCTTTTAACGTAATATCTTAAGTCCCTGAGGAGCTTTGTTTTAAAATTTTTAATTAAAGGGAACTGTCCCCTTTTGCCCCCTAAGACGCAGAAGGGTATTTTTCGTTGGTTGGCATTGTGGTGTAAACACTGCATTCTGAGGGCAGCCCCCTCAGTGTGTTTGCCTCACACGAAATAAAATTACTCTCACACAGACTGGTACTCTCTGTACCTCCTGCTTGAATGAAATTTCGCCCGTATTTTTCTGTTCGGTGACTTTTCGCCCATGTATTTTGTGACAAGGGTCAGGAAAGAAAGTACCAGACCAGGGCTTTTCAGGCATTCCAGCATGGATAACACCCTGCGGATGCCCAGCCGCAGCCCGCTGGTCTTCGGTGACCTCTCTCTGGTTATTAAGAATATTAATATTCTTAATTAATATTAAGAATAAACTGAAAAGAGGAGTAAAAAGTGTGTTGTCAGAAGAGCTAAGCCTGATAATTAGGTTTTTTGTGTTCTAAGTACAGTTGAATAACATGGGTTTGAACTGCAAGGGTCTACCTAATGTGCAAGTTTTTTTCAATAAATATAGTGCAGTACTGTAAATGTGTTTTTCTTATCGTTTTTAGTAACATCTCTTTAGCCTACTTTTATAAGAATACAGCATATAGTACATGTAACATATAAAGATATGTGTTAATCGACTATGTTAATGGGTAAGACTTCAGGTCAACAGTAGGCTATTTGTAAAGTTTTTGGAGACTCAGAAATTATACATGGATTTTCTGCTGTGCAAGGGAGTTGGTGCCCCAAGCCATACGTTGTTCACGGGTCACTTGTATTATAAAACGAATATGTGGTCATGGAAGAAAGTTTGAAAAATGTTCCAAAACAAAAACAAACAAACAAAATGAGTAAAATAATCCCACCACTGAGGAATAACTACTGTTAAATGTTGGGTGTTTATATTTCCACACAACATAGATTTATGTGTCTAAGTTTGCGTGAGTGTGAATAGTACAAAAATAGTTTTGTGTCATTTATATCCATGCCCCCTGGAGCTTCATGTCCTTTTTTCTCTTAACACATTCGAAGCATTTCCCCAGGGCCTTGTGTGCACAAGCATGCTCTTTAACAGCTGCACGTTGCTCTGTTGTGTGCCATGGTTTAGTTCATTCTTCCTCTACATCTTCGCATGGGATCTGATGCAGCAGGAACAGCCCAGTGCAGCGCTTCTGCGCTCTAGAAAGAACTGCGCGCGGTGCGCGCCCCTTCCCTCCATACAAGGCCATTCTTGCTTTCACCAGCATTGGGAACGGTCTGTTTTTAACTGATGTTTTGTTGGTTTCGTGAGTGCAAGTGGTATTTTATTTTTCATCTATTTGATTTCGAATAAAGGTGAATCATTTTTAATAGGTCATATAATTGGCCATTTATATTCTTCTTTTGCAAACTGCTGGTTTCTGTTGCCTTTTTGCTTCCTAGGGTATTCATTTCTCGTTGATCCACGGGAGCCTCTTTTTTTTTTTTTTTTTAAGTGAAGGGGTTTTTCCTTTGGCTTTCTGTTCAAAGTGTCCCTGCATTTTATATTTTAATTTTACGTTTCACACAGTGGCAGGTGAAAGTACATCTGTGGCTGCTTGCCTTGCTTCTTCAGAAAGCCTTCTTTGTTTCACGATCAGAAGAGACATTCTCATATTTTCCACAACTCTCTTGTGGTTCTTTTTTTTTTTTTTTTACACTTAACATTTTAATCTGTTTGAATATGTTTTGTGTGAGCCAGGATCCCAACTTAATTTTTCCCAAAGATTTAGCCCATTTTCTCAACAATTTGTTGAATATTCTTTCCTTCCCCATTGATTTAGGAACACTACTTATATGCTGAATTCCTGTGATTTGCTCTGTGCTTTTTCTGTTATGCACACCATTTTTGCACCAGTCATTTTAGAGAGTTGGAGCTTTATCATGCCTTTAATGGGTGCTGATGGCCCTCCTGCACAGTTGTTCCGTTTGCTTGATCTTGTTTTGTATCTCTTGGCCATCTGTACCTGCTTATTCTTTTTGGTGCTTTCAGTCTGGAAACATTCCATTCAGACGCAGGCCCCTTGCTGTGTGTGTAGTGGGTTATACTCAAGACGTGACACGGTGTAGTGGGTTCCGAGACTCCGTCCTGAGGTGGTATTTCCATTGCTTCCTTTTGCAGCAGGTTGTCCAGAGTGTCGTTCATCTCCACGAACTCCTCAGCACGCTGCAGGTACGGGCCTTTGTCTTTGACCCCTTCACTTACTTGTTTTAAGAGAAACCATAAGGGTATTGTTGGCCTGGATCTTTAAGGTCTGTGAGCAGCTCGTGGCTAAAATGGGGCCCTCCGTCAAGACAAGACTGGCTGTCATGATGAGAAAGGGTACAAAATGCAGTGCTTAGAGTGTCATTGACCTCGTAATATAGAATTGATGAATGATTGATGAATTGATGGTAGACTATATATAGGTGCTCTTGGTAACCCTAGCGCAGAGCCCATGGCTAACAAGGTTTTGGGTGCTTTATTTAGCATGATTGTAAGTTTTCATATCTCCGTGTAGTGTGTGGATAGGGCGGTCCTCCCCTGAATAACTGCTATTTAGCAGTTTCTGGGAATTATCCTTAAAATGTGCGCACTTCCTTTCTCGAAGCTGTAAGAGATCCAATTCCTACTTCGTCCCACCTCCAGAACACACACAGCCCCCACCCCGGGCAGTGTCAACAGCGTGTGAGCAAGTGTGACAAGACTCTGGGTCCCCACACAGTTGACATTCTGTGGGCTGAGTGCCCCCCGGGGGGCGGGCACTGACTCCAAGGTCATAGTGGAGCGCTTGGACCAGACCCGCCTAAAAGTGAGGGGTGTGCTCTGTCCCTGGGCGGGGGCGGGCCGGACCGGCGGCACCTCCCTCCTCCGCGTGTCTCCCCCCCCCCCGCAGGGCGTGGTGCTGCAGCAGGACAGCTACATCGAGGACCAGAAGCTGCTGCTGGCCGAGCGCGTCCTCGCGCGGAGCTCGTCGCGCCCCAGCTCCCTGGTAGAGCAGGAGAAGCAGCGTAGCCTGGAGAAGCAGCGCCAGGACCTGGCCAACCTGCAGAGGCAGCAGGCGCAGCACCAAGAGGAGAAGCGGCGGCGCGAGCGCGAGTGGGAGGCCCGCGAGAGGGCGCTGCAGGAGCGCGAGGCCCGGCTGGCGCAGCGCGAGCAGGACGTGCGGCGCGGC